GACGAGGTCATAATGCACTCGACGGTAAGCTGACTGACAGTACGATTGAAGTCGTCGTGTCCTAAAGGATAAGACGTCCGGTGCATTCGTATGTAGCGATGCACCGGTGTTCGAATCCCGCAGTCTGGTACCAATTTTTCTAATGAAATACGTACTTAAACAAATGTTGACGATTGACTTCCACGGTGAAGGGATATGGTCGTGTAATAAAAATCGAACCCGCAAAATTATAACTTGCGTAATTACTGGTGGTAGGACCTCTTGTGAGTCCGCACGGGTAGGTACCACCGCCCTGCCTATTTCTATCGTGAAGCAGTAATGCGTTTCGGTTTGAAGGGTGAGGCAGTCGTTGTAACTATACTGAGACCTTATATCTCAATATTGAAATATAATAAAACATAAAAACTGGTGAAGCAATAATAGCTTTAAATGCTGTTTCTCTTTATAGAGCAACTCAGTTTGTGCTATAGTTTTACTGCACTAAACTTTATTTTGATGTGAATAAAATAATACATTATATATCTATGCTAATATATAAATCTACAGTGGTTTTTACGGATGTTCCGTTATAACTACTGAACCATGCATCCGATTGACTTGAAACTTGGTATCCATGTAGAAAATACATATACTTAATGGATAGGCTTATATTATATGAGTGTTGGACTCCCTAATAATAATGACAATAAATAATAATGTTAATTTTAAATGCGAAGCGGGCGAGTACGGCTAGTTTATATATAAATCACTCGATGATTTCTTCAAAAATATTTTTGGCTTCATGAAATATAACGAAGCGATTTTAATAATATTGTTTTTGCAAACGCTCCACGTATCGGTTGGCTTTGATGAATATTTCGTCGGTCCTCTATTTGTTTGGCGTTAACCAAAGAAAATTATTAACGGAAAAATACTACGAAGGAAAATCGCTCGTGTTTAGTTTGCCTTATTTTTCTTCCAATTATTTAATTATGCTTTTCCGTTTGGGACGATAGTGTTTTTTTTCCCGTTTGACGTAGACTCAATAACAGACATGATAAGTGTCTCCATTGGTCCTAAAACCTTCAGCGCTTCAGCTATGTGTAACTCGATGGTTCAATTAGGAGAATCATTATGGATGCCATCACAAGAAAGTTATGAAACATCGACATAAAAACCGCTAACTTATAATCACCTCCTCCTGGCTTCCAGTTTCCTCAATGCTGAGGGTCGTGACCACCACCTCGCAACTATCTGCCGCCGAGTGTAGAGCACCCTGGACTGTGGTATCGAGAGTAGTGCGGACCTGGTCAGTGCAACGCGTCAGGTCTCTGCCTCGTGGTCTTTTTACATCCACCTTTCCAGTGACCATTAGCTTCTCCAAACTGGCATCATCCTTTCTGGCAATGTGGCCAAAGTATTCCAGAACTCTACGCAGACAGACGGTAAAAAGCTTCATCTGTATGGTGGTATTCTTGGTATGGTATTCTTTCTGTATGGTATTCTTTACTTGTGGTAGGACCTCTTGTGAGTCCGCGCGGATGGGTACCACCACGCTGCCTATTTCTGCCGTGAAGCAGTAATGCGTTTCGGTTTGAAGGATTGGGCAGCCGTTGTAACTATACTTGAGACCTTAGAACTTATATCTCAAGGTGGGTGGCGCAATTACGTTGTAGGTGTCTATGGACTCCAGTAACCACTTAACACCAGGTGGGCTGTGATCACGTCCACCCATCTAAGCAATAAAAAAAAAAAAAAAAAAACTGGAGTTCTTGGAGGATCGACACGTTGGTGCAACGTGCTGTCCAGGGAATCCCTAGCACGTTTCGCCGGCACCACATCTCAAATGCATCAATACGGTCGCGATTAGCTTTCTTCAGGATCTAGGTCTCTGTGCCGTATAGGAATACGGAGAACACTAAATTGCGTACATGATTGCTCTTGGTTTTCAAAAAGATGTTTTTATCCTTCCATCTATACTAATATATAAATCTACAGCAGTTTTTACAGATATTTCGTTATAACTACTGAACCATGCATCCGATTGACTTGAAACTTGGTATCCATGTAGAAAATACAGGTACTTAATGGATAGGCTAATATTTATGTGAGTGTTGGACTCCCTACACCAATTGCGGGGATGTTAATGATGAGAATCTTTGTTGGGGTGAGAAATAATAATGTTAATTTTAAATGCCCAGCGAATCGGACGGGTACAGCTAGTATCTTATTAAGTTTGTATTATAAACGCCACTTAAATGTTTTCAAGCTTTGACTGCCCTATAAGTCACCGGTGCCCTACGCGGCGCACAAAAGTAATTATGTTGATATCTGTCACTAAGGCTCCGGAAGTAGATTCTGGGAAAGACGAATCCGAAGATACCGAGAATGAATCTATTCCTAAGAGACCCAAAAGACTAAAACATACATTAACAAACAGATGAAGGCAAAGCCAGGCAATCTAGGCGCTTAGCAAGGGTAATCGTAATAATTTATTACTAGTGGTAGGACCTCTTGTGATTCCGCACGGGTAGGTACCACCACCCTGCCTATATCTGCCGTGAAGCAGTAATGCGTTTCGGTTTGAAGGATTGGGCAGCCGTTGTAACTATACTTGAGACTTTAGAACTTATATCTCAAGGTGGGTGGCGCAATTACGTTGTAGGTGTCTATGGACTCCAATAACCACTTAACACCAGGTGGGCTGTGAGCTCGTCCACCTATCTCAGCAATAAAAAAAAATCTTTCGAACGACAGAAGATATAAAAACATTATGCACTTTTAAAATAGTGATATTTATAAATATTTTATGCCGAAACTAATATGCATTCTACATTTAAAAAATAATAATTTAAGAGTACTGCAATTGTTTTTGTACTTACTTTGTTACAAGGACTGTGACAATGGTTTTGCTTGTTCTTTTTCAAAGTACACTTTAACGAATCCTAAATTTACTACAGAGTTAGTTACAAATTAAAAGATGTACATTTTAAGACAATGTATGATTCAATCAATGCCTTTGATCATGCCAATGTCTCTGGCATCTTTAACTTAACTGTCCTTAATGAAACCTGAATCTACGTATTCTACGAGAATTAAACTCATGTATGATTTAATATGCTCTCACCATAGAGAGAGAGAGAGAGAGACCAGAACTGCCAGCCTGACCTGGATCGATGTTAAGGAGCAAGCTCAAGACAGGGTAACGTGGAGACAACTTGTGAGGGCTTTCTGTACCAGCAATCACGGTACCCTAGGACTACAATGTGATTTAAATTTGCAAAAATCTCATTTAAATCAGATTCATGTAATTTTTGTCATATCAATCAATTGCCGTATCAAACATGCGGCCCATCTAATGTTAAAGATTTACTGGGATCCATAGATAACACGGTGAATGTCACCAACCACATTAACAAGTAAAGTCAAAATCTCAACTCAAATAACTGTATTAATCAACTGTATTACCGTCCCTCCTTTCCAATAGGACTGTTTTTCTCGGCCCAAATAGTTGTTTTATCAATTTATTTTAATTTATTTATCTTGTTACATTATTCTTGTTAGGATTGTTTTAAATATTGTAAATTATAAAAAAAGGTTTCTCCTATTTCGTTTTTTTTTAAATAAACAGACTAACTTAACTGGTTCTTTTAAGCTGTTGCTCTTTTTGTAACTTAAAATTTTGACACGAGTATGTTACATCCAAGTTCAAATAAATGTTTTTGAATATGATAAGTAATTAACATATATTTCATTAGAGGGAAGACTGTATATTAACTATTACACTTTGCTATTGACAGTAATATTAATTTAATTTTCCTGCTAAATTAGTACTTCCAATAATCTTTTCTAGAATCTTTTTTTAATGTCCAGCTCAGCCAAATGTATTGAGAGTGCATAATTAGTAGTAATTATTTATTTTATAATGTTGGGGTTTGAAGTCTTTGTTTGCCTTTTGACTTGGTTTCATGTTGGTTGATAAAAAAAAATTTATTTAAATGGGCAGCTGTATTTGTGTTTTTTAAATCATTATTTTATGTTTGACTCATGTATAGCGTTTAAAAGCCATAACATTGCCATAAAAATTAATAGTTCTGAAGAAAAAAACCGTTTTTGTTTTAATATTTTTATTTTACTTATTAATTGAAGTGTTTTTCTAGTGTCTATTTCAAACCGGGCAAAACCAAATTTTCTAGTTTCCAAAAAGCACTGTGTAGAATTCACAGATCTACTTCAAATGTTAATCACGTTTAAATTATTCTCGAAGTATTTGTATATTCAAATAAATGCGTTATTCGAAAAATTATGAAAATCATTTAAATTGATTTGGTAAACAAATTATTTTGACCAATTTTTTTTCGTGATTCTCCACTATGTATCCATAAGCGAACGAGTTCGCCATTATTTTTATTATAGGAAGTAAACACTTAATAGTCTCGCAAGATAAACTTCGTGCAAGCCAATAAACACAAGAGGGCCGTAATTGACCAACAACAATGGAGCGATTTTTGTCAATTGAAAATAATTACGGCGAAAAATATTTGATGCGTAGAAAAAAAGTCATACTTGCATAAATATTTTGGCTATGAAAAAAATGTGCAGAATGAACCATAAATTGTAAAGTATAGTTTATAAGTATTCCGATTTCGATTTGGATACTATAGTTTGAAACTTACGAATAAGCCGCCTAAATAAAATAGGCAAGTAATGTTCGAATTAAGAATGTAAACAGGGTACTATGAAACTGGTTAAGGTTTTCAATGTTTTTTTTTAAAACACGTTCTCGCCCCTCGTACATCAGATGTACTTGCTTTAAACAAGTTATAGTGCAATGTTTGGCAAACCTGACCAAAGTTTTCGAATCTCGCAATGGAAAATAACCAAGACATCACAACACGATTAACATATTCACAAACACATAAAGACGCCATACACATATATAATCACTTCGTAATAAGATAATACGTGAATAAAACACAAAAACCACTGTATTTCACATCGGAACGATAGTAGGTACGCACCTTACTTTTAGTAATAACATGTGTAGCCAGTTTTACGACGGCGAAGTTACCAGTTCCTATAGTCTTTTCAAGTTCATAGTTACCGACACACACGAGCTGGTCTATTGGGAAATGCTTGCTTTTGTGTATAGGGCTGATATTGCAGGCCATTTTCGCGAAAAACGCGTAAAACCCGCTCGTGCTCACGACCCGTCGAGGAGTTTTCGTTCACTGGCGCTAATTCGAGCTGCTTGTCGCCGCGGCGCTAGTATCACTCACGTCATCCGCCGCGGGACTTGCAACTTCACCCCGCGATATTTCATTAACAACCATGAATAAATAATTGGCGAAATTCCATTCTGAAACTAGCTCGGTCTTTATATCTTAGCATAATCTTTAGATGTTTTTTATGTTGACACTCACAGCTTCAAACTGAACTTGACAGAATGCTTATCAGTAATTTTCTTATCAATACGTTTGGATTCAATTGAACATCACTTGTAAGTGAAAAAGAGAACCGCGATTCACAACCATTACGCGATTGTTTCTCTCTCGCTCGTCCTCATTCATTTCTGATGGGTTGAAGCGAGGTAGATATATTGTAGTCTTCGTTAGGCAGTGGGCTCAGTGACGTCAGCGAGATCCTCTGACGTCACACGCGGCAAATTCAAACCCAGACGGCGAGGGGGTAATTACGTCAGCAAGATATATCGATTTTAACAATAACCAAGTACGCGTTTTGAGGGAGGAAGACTAGAAATTCTCTTTGTTTCAACTCTAACAATGTGTTCTTAAAATTATCGAAACAATTTTGTTTGTAATCAAAATGCGTCTGTCGTCCATGAATTTAACAATAATGTCAACAGCATAATCGGTCAAGGATATGTAAAAATATTGAAATCTTGATTTCAAATGAAAATTTAAATTTTAAATTCCGAAAAATGTTATCTGAATGATAACTAAGTACATTTTTTATCTATTAATATACAAAGCAGCCTCACGACATCATCTGAACATTTGTATGTACAAAAAGATCTAATCTACCTATCTTACAAAATTTCCTGTTCAGATAATTCATAACATCAATACAATGGGCCATTCATTCATTGAAAAACAATTCTTAAATTATCTGCTTTTCCCATTTCATTCAAACTGCACAGTAGCGTTATCTGTGATTACATATTTGAACCACTTGCAATATCAGTTCACTGCTTTAGTTTCCGTAGTTAATTAAATAAAATCTAGATGGCGCTAATCAATTGAAAATCGTTAACCCTTAGATGTCACTAGCCTTGCTCAATTTTAAAATGTAGTTCGCTTCGATCATACTTTATTGATCGAAGGTAGTTCGCTTTTTATAATAGTGCTTTAATTTTAATAATCACTAGATTCTAGATGATGACCGCTTTGCTCGGTATTTCTTTTTGATAAATTGTGTTTTTTAGAAATTATATTTAAATACGAATTACATATTGATAAAATGATGAAATATTCCAAGATCATTTTTATGTGAACGCGTGAGTTAAAGACACAAATGATATAAATAAACAATTCGTTTTCTTGGTCTAACCTCAAACCAAACACTCATTGGCTTCGGGTTGCTTAACAACGCCATCTGCTGAAGTAGCTTAGTGTTATTGTGTCTTTAAAGCAGTTAATTGCTCTCAATTAAGTTTTTTTTTATTATTATTCGCCAATAGATGAAGGGAAGAGTCATAAAGTTGGTTATTGAAAACACGAATAAAACAACATTTTCTGAAAGTAAATCGTAGTTAGATCGATTTATCGCCCCCAAAATCCCCTGCATACTAACTTTTATGAAAATCGTTGGAGCCGTTTCCGGGATTCAGATTATATAGTATATGTATATATACAAGAATTGCTCGTTTAAAGGTATAAGATTCAGCTGATTGAGTTTCTCGCCCATCTTAGGTAGAAAAAACAATATATTATTATTATCTATCAATCGATTCAGTCGACATTGGAGTCCATTTCAATAATATACACTTCTAATAATTATAATTATTTGTTACGTGTGCAACCAGTTTTAGATAATAAAAAAAATTGTGCCAATAATAATTGTAAAAGCTATTCCAAACTCCAACTAAAAGTGAGACCTTAGAACTTATATCCCAAGGTGGGAGGCGCATTTACGTTATAGATGCCTATGGGATCCAGTAACCACTTAACACCAGGTGGGCTGAGAGCTCGTCCACGCATCATCATCATCTTTCATCATTTCAGCCTATCGCCGTCCACTGCTGAACATAGGCCTCTCCAATAGATTTCCAGTACGACCGGTCCATTGCCACCTGCATCCAACGAGACCCAGCGCTTTTTACTAGGTCGTCGGTCCATCTAGTAGGTGGCCGTCCCACACTGCGCTTCCCAGTACGTCCACGCATATAAGCATTAAAAAACCAAAAAAATATCAACAATTCGACGTTTTTAATTAAATATGCAATTTCGAAAAGGGCATATCTCTGAAAATGTAAAATGTTCAGGAAATAAAAAAAAGACTGATTATTTTCTAAAGCAGTGTAAAATTTTAAATAATAACTTTTGAGATATATTTTAGTGTTAATTAGCAATTGAAAATTACTGGAATTATTATAAAATGGGTGGAGGTGAGCCTGAAAACTACATGTATATGAAAAATCGTATTTGACAAAATATGCGACATGTGCCTTTTTCGAAATTGCATATTCAATTGAACTTGAATTAAGTTTACCACATTTGAATAGCCGAAGAAGTTTTTTCGTTAGGATATTTTTTCCAAATGCTTAAAGCTTTAAATAGTTCTCATGTAAAGTTGCAAAAATGTCGTTTAAACCTTTTAACCAAACATTTTAAGTATACAAACAACTTCACAACACCAATAGCCCGCTGAGTTTCTCGCCGGATCTTCTCAGTGGGCCGCGTTTCCGATCCGGTGGCAGATTCTGCGAAGCACGGATCGTGCTAGGGCCAGTGTTAGCAACGTCGTCAGGTTTGAGCCCCGCGAGCTTACCTACTTGTTAGGGTTACGCTGAAAAGGCCTCTCAAGGCCATCAGCTAAGGTAGGAAAAAAAAGGCACAAATATGCAAATATGTGTTATGCTCTGTGTTTATGCAAAGTTAGCTCATATTTGTATGGAATGGGATCGTTTGCCTACGTTTGCCACTAAGGGCGCTGTTCCAATTGCATACATAATTGGATTAACTATTACGCTATCGAGAACGTTACGACATGAGAACCCTCTCATCGTGGCCGCTGGAAACTACATACCCGACCCAGTAGACCGAATGGTAAGCCGTCGACGTCGCCCAAAGCACATCATTACGGATCCTCCTGATCCATTAACGGTGCTTTTAGGGACCACAAGCACCGGTCACCGTCCTCGTCGAACCCGTCGCTTGCGACGAAGGGCTCGACGAGCGAATTAACCCACAGACACAGCCCACTGAGTTTCTCGCCGGATCTTCTCAGTGGGCCGCGTTTCCGGACAACTATTAAAATAAATAATAGTTTAAAAAAAACTAACAAAATACGCTTTTATAGAAAATCCAACAAGAAAATAGAAAATTGCTTTTCAGGATATATTATCAAAATAACCCTTCTACTCATATCTGTTCATAAAATATTTATAACTACTGATGCCGTGCACCCCACGCTTTTTTTTACAATAAAATCATTTTTTCTCACACTATTTTTAATTCAAATTTATTAAAATTTATTTTCAATTTTTTAGTTGGATTTTCTATAAAAGCGTATATTGTTAGTTTTTTTAAACTATCATTTATTTTACATTTTTTAGTTGAATCCAATTTTTTCAATTTTTTTTTAATACTGTATTGTCATCTGTCCTTAATAAGTATACCAAATTTCGAGTTAATCCGACGTTTTGAAGGGGGTCAAAATCATGTTCAAAGATTCCGTTACAAACATACATATATTTACATACGTCTGAAGCTAATAAAAGCGTATTAAAAAAAACCAACATCCTATTTCCATCCTGGCGTCCCTAAAAGACGCATATCCGACGCCAGCTTTGACATACCTCAATTTCAAGTCCTTCAAGCGAGTCTTCAATAAAAACTTATGAGATATATAGCTTGGTGTTAGGGACATTTATGCTCCACAGCAGTTTTTTTAAATTTTTTATTGCCTTTGTAGGCAGACGAGCATACGACCCACCTGATGGTGAGTGGTTACCGTCGCCCATGGACTTCAGCAATGCCAGGGGCAGAGCCAAGCCGCCAACTTGAGTTATATTATTGGAGTTTTAGTAAGAATCCCTAATTTTTCCCCACTCACCATCAGGTGGGCCGTACGCTCGTCTGCCTATAAGGGACCATTAAAATAATAATAATTACAAAAACACAAGTTCCCATTATTTCTTTACTTAACAAACATAATGACAAAAATAAAAAATGCAAAAAAAGAATATCTTTTTAACAAAACAATTAAGTTTTCGTTACGTCAAATTATTTAATTACCGTATTTTTTTATTTAAAACAAAGAAAAAAAAATCGTGGGGCGAAACGCTATTTGGTTTAAGCGACATTTTTTAAACTTTACAGGAGTGCCAGTTAATGTTTTGAAAAAATATTCACAACAAAAAAAACATCTTCAGCTATTCAAATGGAGTAAACTTAATTGAAGTTCAATTAGAAACATCGAACTGTTGATGCTGATACCAAATAAAACGCGCCTTTAATTACAAAGATAAATGTCGCGTGCTAAGCGAAATGTCGCTTGAACCAAATATCCCATTCACCTGTCGATTTATTTTTAAAACATTCAAAATAATTGACGTACAAAATTGAATAGATTTATATATTTATTATTTATTTGTAAGGCGCATCGGTTATTAAAGCATCGTTTTGAAACAATAGGGTTATTTTATTTATTTATTTTTAGTAACATATTCATTTAATGTTTCTTTAGTGTAAATAGGCGAACGGGCTCTCGGCCCAGATGATGTTAAGTGATGACTGGAGACTAATATACATGACGCAGTGTGTAAATATTATGTTAGATCCGGCTGCGCTATCAATATTCAAGAATTTAATGAATATCCAAGACGCATTCAATTTGACATAACAAGCAGTAAGTAACGGCCGTCTGGTGTAGTGGTAAGTGACATGGTCACTACACAAGGGGGTTGCGGGTTCGAATCCCGCCAAGG